CTCGTTGGTCCAGGGGAAGGATTCTCGCTTCCGGTGCGAGAGGTCCCGTATTCATTCCCGGACGAGCCCAGTGGTATATGGTCAAAATCCATTTCTCAATGGTGTCTGGATTGTCGATCCAGCAGAGTCCGTTATGGCCACATTGTCTGCCGCTCTTAGGAATTTCGCTAGCGACAAACCACCTTCTCCAAATATACTTTATTTTTTATTAAAATGTATAATCAATATTTAATGAGAAACAAACAAAACCACACGGTCGAATATAGTGGTGACTGGATAAGGAGAGGAAATAAATACACTACAGAAAATTTACAAAATGGCTTGAAAACATCTTGCCCCTAACACAACCCACAATAATCTTGATGTGCTGCCGTAAAAAAATTCTAAATTTCTTTTACAGTGGCTTGTTGGTCTAGGGGTATGATTCTCGCTTTGGGTGCGAGAGGTCCCGGATTCATTCCCGGTTATTTTTATATTCAGAGCCCAGTGGTATATGGTCAAAATCCATTCCTCAATGGTGTCTGGATTGTCGATCCAGCAGAGTCCGTTATGGCCACATTGTCTGCCGCTCTTAGGAATTTCGCTAGCGACAAACCACCTTCTCCAAATATACTTTATTTTTTATTAAAATGTATAATCAATATTTAATGAGAAACAAACAAAACCACACGGTCGGAATATAGTGGTGACTGGATAAGGAGAGGAAATAAATACACTACAGAAAATTTACAAAATGGCTTGAAAACATCTTGCCCCTAACACAACCCACAATAATCTTGATGTGCTGCCGTAAAAAATTCAAATTTCTTTTACAGTGGCTTGTTGGTCTAGGGGTATGATTCTCGCTTTGGGTGCGAGAGGTCCCGGATTCATTCCCGGACGAGCCCAGTGGTATATGGTCAAAATCCATTCCTCAATGGTGTCTGGATTGTCGATCCAGCAGAGTCCGTTATGGCCACATTGTCTGCCGCTCTTAGGAATTTCGCTAGCGACAAACCACCTTCTCCAAATATACTTTATTTTTTATTAAAATGTATAATCAATATTTAATGAGAAACAAACAAAACCACACGGTCGAATATAGTGGTGACTGGATAAGGAGAGGAAATAAATACACTACAGAAAATTTACAAAATGGCTTGAAAACATCTTGCCCCTAACACAACCCACAATAATCTTGATGTGCTGCCGTAAAAAAATTCTAAATTTCTTTTACAGTGGCTCGTTGGTCTAGGGGTATGATTCTCGCTTTGGGTGCGAGGGGTCCCGGGTTCAAATCCCGGATGAGCCCAGTGTTATATTTATATTCAGTGCAGTCGGACAGTGACTAAATCAATCTGGTCAAAATCCATTCCTCAATGGTGTCTGGATTGATGATCTAGCAGAGCCTATTTTGTCCACATTGTCTGTCGCTCTTAGGAATTTTGCTAGCGACAAACCACCCCACCTTATCTAATTGTTTTTCACTTTTTATTAAATTGTATAGTCAATATTTAATGAGAAACAAACAAAACCACACGGTTGGATATAATGGTGACTGGATAAGGAGAGGAAATACAAACACTATAAAAAATTTACAAAATGTCTTGAAAACATCTTTCCCTTATTGCAACCCACAATAATCTGATGTGCTGCTGTAAACAATTGGACAATAGTTTTTAGTGGTGGCTCGTTGGTCCAAGGGAGGATTCTCGCTTTGGGTGCAAGAGGTCCCGGATTCATTCCCGGACGAGCCCAGTGGTATATGGTCAAAATCCATTCCTCAATGGTGTCTGGATTGTCGATCCAGCAGAGTCCGTTATGGCCACATTGTCTGCCGCTCTTAGGAATTTCGCTAGCGACAAACCACCTTCTCCAAATATACTTTATTTTTTATTAAAATGTATAATCAATATTTAATGAGAAACAAACAAAACCACACGGTCGGATATAAGGAGAGGAAATAAATACACTACAGAAAATTTACAAAATGGCTTGAAAACATCTTGCCCCTAACACAACCCACAATAATCTTGATGTGCTGCCGTAAAAAAATTCAAAATCATTTTTACAGTGGCTCGTTGGTCTAGGGGTATGATTCTCGCTTTGGGTGCGAGAGGTCCCGGGTTCAAATCCCGGACGAGCCCAGTGTTATTTTATATTCAGTGCAGTCGGACAGTGACTCCATCAATCTGGTCGAAATCCATTCCTCAATGGTGTCTGGAGTGATGATCTAGCAGCGCCTATTTTGTCCACATTGTCTGTCGCTCTTAGGAATTTTGCTAGCGACAAACCACCCCACCTTATCTAATTGTTTTTCACTTTTTATTAAATTGTATAGTCAATATTTAATGAGAAACAAACAAAACCACACGGTTGGATATAATGGTGACTGGATAAGGAGAGGAAATACAAACACTATAAAAAAATACAAAATGTCTTGTAAACATCTTTCCCTTATTGCAACCCACAATAATCCTGATGTGCTGCTGTAAACAATTGGACAATAGTTTTTAGTGGTGGCTCGTTGGTCCAAGGGAAGGATTCTCGCTTCCGGTGCAAGAGGTCCCGGATTCATTCCCGGACGAGCCCAGTGGTATATGGTCAAAATCCATTCCTCAATGGTGTCTGGATTGTCGATCCAGCAGAGTCCGTTATGGCCACATTGTCTGCCGCTCTTAGGAATTTCGCTAGCGACAAACCACCTTCTCCAAATATACTTTATTTTTTATTAAAATGTATAATCAATATTTAATGAGAAACAAACAAAACCACACGGTCGGATATAGTGGTGACTGGATAAGGAGAGGAAATAAATACACTACAGAAAATTTACAAAATGGCTTGAAAACATCTTGCCCCTAACACAACCCACAATAATCTTGATGTGCTGCCGTAAAAAAATTCAAATTCACTTTTTTACAGTGGCTCGTTGGTCTAGGGGTATGATTCTCGCTTTGGGTGCGAGAGGTCCCGGGTTCAAATCCTGGACGAGCCCAGTGTTATTTTTATATTCAGTGCAGTCGGACAGTGACTCCATCAATCTGGTCGAAATCCATTCCTCAATGGTGTCTGGAGTGATGATCTAGCAGCGCCTATTTTGTCCACATTGTCTGTCGCTCTTAGGAATTTTGCTAGCGACAAACCACCCCACCTTCTCTAATTGTTCTTCATCTTTTATTAAATTGTATAGTCAATATTTAATGAGAAACAAACAAAACCACACGGTCGGATATAATGGTGACTGGATAAGGAGAGGAAATACAAACACTATAAAAAATACAAAATGTCTTGAAAACATTTTTCTCTTATTGCAACCCACAATAATCCTGATGTGCTGCTGTAAACAATTGGGCAATAGTTTTTAGTTGTGGCTCGTTGGTCCAGGGGAAGGATTCTCGCTTCCGGTGCGAGAGGTCCCGGATTCATTCCCGGACGAGCCCAGTGGTATATGGTCAAAATCCATTCCTCAATGGTGTCTGGATTGTCGATCCAGCAGAGTCCGTTATGGCCACATTGTCTGCCGCTCTTAGGAATTTCGCTAGCGACAAACCACCTTCTCCAAAAATACTTTATTTTTTATTAAAATGTATAATCAATATTTAATGAGAAACAAACAAAACCACACGGTCGGATATAAGACTGGATAAGGAGAGGAAATAAATACACTACAGAAAATTTACAAAATGGCTTGAAAACATCTTGCCCCTAACACAACCCACAATAATCTTGATGTGCTGCCGTAAAAAATTCAAAATCACTTTTACAGTGGCTCGTGGTCTATATGATTCTCGCTGCCCGGGTTCAAATCCTGGAAGCCCAGTGTTATTTTTATATTCAGTGCAGTCGGACAGTGACTCCATCAATCTGTTTTCCTCAATGGTGTCTGAGAGTTGATCTAGCAGCTTTTGTCCACATTGTCTGTCTCTCTTAGCAGGGGAAGGATTCTCGCTTTCTAATTGTTCTTCACACTGCAAAAATCGATAAAGCATAAAATCAAACACTAAAAAATACAAAATGTCTTGAAAACATTTTTCTTTATTGCAACCCACAATAATCCTGATGTGCTGCTGTAAACAATTGGACAATAGTTTTTAGTTGTGGCTCGTTGGTCCAGGGGAAGGATTCTCGCTATTTCGATGGCAATTTCCGGTGGCAATACTTTATCGATACATATACGCCAAGTATCGATCTTTTACTATTTAAATTGAACCATGAGAATTTAACTTTTTGATAGTAGAATAATAAAATGAATTGCGTATTCAGTCCACCGGGTGACGTGACGGTCAGCATGCATGAGGATGCAGATACAGGAATCCACTGACGATACGGCTGTATCCGTGAAAAAATACTCTTTCGCTCGTATCAGTGTATATTTGCGGTAGGGCTTTTACCGTGAAATACTTTCGACTCGGCAGCTGATATTTACGGTAAACTGCAGCTTTTTAAAGCCGGTCTTTTTCTACTTAAGACTAGCAGCATATCCTTCACAGTGTAATATGTCACAGTGTAATATGTCAATGCATCGCGTTATCTCCTTCCAACTCAAACTTTTTCTATATTGCTAAGAGGAATTACACAGATGCCATGGGAGTGCCTAGTTGGTATAGTGGCGAGTGTCGTAGAAATTGGTCTGTGTGGTTGTCGTGGCCGAGTGGTTAAGGCTAGAAATCCATTGGGATATCCCTGCGCAGGTTCAAATCCTGACGACAACGGTTTGTATTTGCTTGTTCCCATGGGAACCCATTCTAAATGTCAAGAGGAAAGCCATTTCGAGAGCATGCATATGTTTTTATTCTGGTCGTGGTTTGTGAACGCAAGAAAGGTGAGATACACTCTCGTTACGGGTGGGGGGAAAAAGTCGATACAGCATAAAATCGCGATATTTCCTGGGGCAATACTTTATCGATACACAGACGCCAAGTATCGATCTTTTACTATTTAAATTGAACATGAGAATTTCACTTTTTGGTAGTAGAATAATAAAATAAATTGCGTATTCAGTCCACCGGGTGACGTGAGGATGCAGATACAGGAATCCGCTGACGATACGGCTGTATCCGTGAAAAAATATTCTTTCGCTCGTATAAGTGTAAATTTGCGGTAGGGCTTTTACCGTGAAATACTTGCGACTCTGCAGCTGATATTTCTGGTCAACTGCACCTTTTAAAGCCGGTCTTTTTCTACTTAACCCTCGTGTTGTCCTCGCATCACGTAAACACCCCGAGTCAAGCTGGTCAGAATGACCCTCGATCACTTTTCACAGCCCTCAGAGTGTTGCAAAAAGGAGGAGGCCAAAATACAACAACGTGCACGTGTTTCACTGTATTCGATTTATTATTTTTATCGTTATTAGTAAATATCTGGGAGTGCTAAAAAAAACACCGGCCCGGGCGAGGCTCGAACTCGCCACCTCGGCATCTACCCCCTCCGTTGTCCTCGCGTCGTGTACACCGCCCCAGTCGATCGGGTCAGAGTGACCCGGGATCTCTTTTCACAGCCCTCAGAGTTTTGCAAAAAGGAGGAGGCCGAAATACAACAACATGCACGTGTTTCACTGTATTAGATTTATTATTTTTATCGCTATTAGTAATTATCTGGGATGGCCCAAAAAATAACCGCTCGGGCAAGGCTCGAACTCACAACCCCGGCATCTAACCCCGGTGTTGTCCTCGCGTCGTGTACACACAGCCTGAGTTGAGCGGGTCAGAGTGACCCGTGATTCCTTTTCCCGGCCCGGGAGTTTTGCTAGAAAAGAGGAGCTCGAAATACAACGACACGCACACGTTTTACTGTCGTCCATTTATTATTACTATCGTTATTAGTATCTATCGGCGAGGGTAAAAAAAAACACCGGCCCGGGCAAAGCTCGAACTCGCCACCTCGGCATTTAACCCCGCCGTTGTCCTCGCGTCGCGTACACAGCCCGAGTCGAGCGGGTCAGAGTGACCCTCGATCTCTTTTCACAGCCCTCAGAGTTTTGCAAAAAGGAGGAGGCCGAAATACAACAACATGCGCGTGTTTCACCATTGTCCATCTATTATTACTATCTTTATTAGTATTTATAGGCGAGGTGAAAAAAAACACCGGCCCGGGCGAGGCTCGAACTCGCCACCTCGGCATCTAACCCCGCCGTTGTCCTCGCGTCGCGCACACAGCCCGAGTCGAGCGGGTCAGAGTGACCCTCAATCTCTTTTCACAGCCCTCAGAGTTTTGCAAACAGGAGAAGGCCGAAATACAACAACGTGCACGTGTTTCACTGTAATCGATTTATTATTTTTATCGTTATTAGTAATTATCTGGGAGGGCTAAAAAAAAACACCGGCCCGGGCGAGGCTCGAACTCGCCACCTCGGCATCTAACCCCGCCGTTGTCCTCGCGTCGCGTACACAGCCCGAGTCGAGCGGGTCAGAGTGACCCTCGATCTCTTTTCACAGCCCTCAGAGTTTTGCAAAAGGAGGAGGCCGAAATACAACAACGTGCACGTGTTTCACCGTTGTCCATCTATTATTACTATCTTTATTAGTATTTATCGGCGAGGGTGCAAAAAAAACACCGCTCGGGGGGAGGCTCGAACTCGCCACCTCGCGATCTAACCCCGCCGTTGTCCTCGCGTCGCTTACACAGCCCGAGTCGAGCGGGTCAGAGTGACCCGCGATCTCTTTTCACAGCCCTCAGAGTTTTGCAAAAAGGAGGAGGCCGAAATACAACAACATGCGCGTGTTTCACCATTGTCCATCTATTATTACTATCTTTATTAGTATTTATAGGCGAGGGTGAAAAAAAACACCGGCCCGGGCGAGGCTCGAACTCGCCACCTCGGCATCTAACCCCGCCGTTGTCCTCGCGTCGCGCACACAGCCCGAGTCGAGCGGGTCAGAGTGACCCTCAATCTCTTTTCACAGCCCTCAGAGTTTTGCAAACAGGAGAAGGCCGAAATACAACAACGTGCACGTGTTTCACTGTAATCGATTTATTATTTTTATCGTTATTAGTAATTATCTGGGAGGGCTAAAAAAAAACACCGGCCCGGGCGAGGCTCGAACTCGCCACCTCGGCATCTAACCCCGCCGTTGTCCTCGCGTCGCTTACACAGCCCGAGTCGAGCGGGTTTGAGTGACCCTCGATTTTTTTTCTGTTTGTCCGTCCTCAATCTCAATTTGTTTGTCGTGTTCATTCTCGTTGTCAATTCCTTTCCGTTGTCCATTACCATGTTATCCTTCCTCAACATTAAACACAGGCACTCCACCAAACACACAAAGCTGTCGGGGGAACGACAAAAACACACAGGAATTAATCGACAAACGAACTTCGATACTACAACAACGAAAAACAAATATATTACAAACAAACCGATTCCCAAACAAACACTCTCGACCTGCTCTCTCACTCACTTCCTGACACAACAACCTCCCAACCAACAGGGGGCGTTTTCAGGGTGGTGTGGCCGTAAGCTATTCGAAAAGTTGAAATTACAGCTCTTATTGATTTCTTCACTGCATAATTAACTTTTTGATTGTTTGTTTCTTCCCGCCAAGAAAATGACAAAATGCTTACAACACTAGAAATTCCTAGGCGGTCTCCCATCCAAGTACTAACCAAGCCCGGCCAAACTTGGCTTCCGAGATCAGACGAGATCGGGCATTTTCAGGGTTGTGTGGCCGTAAGCAATTAGAAAACTTGAAAATAAAGCTGTTATTGATTTCTTCACTGCATAATTTACTTTTTGAATGATTGTTTCTTCCCGCCAAGAAAATAACAATATGCTTACAACACTAGATATTCCTAGGCGGTCTCCCATCCAAGTACTAAGCAAGCCCGATCCTGCTTGGCTTCCGAGATCAGACGAGATCAGGCGTTTTTAGGGTGGTGTGGCCATAAGCTATTAGAAAAGTTGAAATTACAGCTCTTATTGATTTCTTCACTGCATAATTAACTTTTTGATTGATTGTTTCTTCCCGCCAAGAAAATAACAAAATGCTTACAACACTAGATATTCCTAGGCGGTCTCCCATCCAAGTACTAACCAAGCCCGACCATGTTTGGCTTCCGAGATCGGGCGTTTTCAGGGTGGTGTGGCCGTAAGCTATTAGAAAAGTTGAAATTACAGCTCTTATTGATTTCTTCACTGCATAATTAACTTTTTGATAGATTGTTTCTTCCTGCCAAGAAAATAACATAATGCTTACAACACTAGATATTCCCAGGCGGTCTCCCATCGAAGTACTAACCAAGCCCAACCCTGCTTGGCTCCGAGATCAGACGAGATCGGGCGTTTTCAGGGGGGTGTGGCCGTAAGCTAATAGACAAGTTGAAATTACAGCTCTTATTGATTTCTTCACTGCATAATTCACTTTTTGATTGATTGTTTCTTCCCGCCATGAAAATAACAAAATGCTTACAACACTAGATATTCCCAGGCGGTCTCCGATCCAAGTACTAACCAAGCCCAACTCTGCTTGGCTTCCGAGATCAGACGAGATCGGGCGTTTTCAGGGTGGTGTGGCCGTAAGCTATTAGAAAAGTTGAAATTACAGCTCTTATTGATTTCTTCACTGCATATTTAACTTTTTGATTGATTGTTTCTTCCCGCCAAGAAAATAACAAAATGCTTACAACACTAGATATTCCTAGGCGGTCTCCCATCCAAGTACTAACCAAGCCCGACCCTGCTTGGCTTCCGAGATCAGACGAGATCGGGCGTTTTCAGGGTGGTGTGGCCGTAAGCTATTAGAAAAGTTGAAATTACAGCTCTTATTGATTTCTTCACTGCATAATTAACTTTATGATTGATTGTTTCTTCCCGCCATGAAAATAACAAAATGCTTACAACACTAGATATTCCTAGGCGGTCTCCCATCCAAGTACTAACCAAGCCCGACCATGTTTGGCTTCCGAGATCGGGCGTTTTCAGGGTGGTGTGGCCGTAGGGTATTAGAACATTTGAAAATACAGCTGTTATTGATTTCTTCACTGCATAATTAACTTTTTGATTGATTGTTTCTTCCCGCCAAGAAAATAACAAAATGCTTACAACACTAGATATTCCTAGGCGGTCTCCCATCCAAGTACTAACCAAGCCCGACCATGTTTGGCTTCCGAGATCAGGGCGTTTTCAGGGTGGTGTGGCCGTAGGGTATTAGAACATTTGAAAATACAGCTGTTATTGATTTCTTCACTGCATAATTAACTTTTTGATTGATTGTTTCTTCCCGCCAAGAAAATAACAAAATGCTTACAACACTAGATATTCCTAGGCGGTCTCCCATCCAAGTACTAACCAAGCCCGACCCTGCTTGGCTTCCGAGATCAGACGAGATCGGGCGTTTTCAGGGTGGTGTGGCCGTAAGCTATTAGAAAGTTGAAATTACAGCTCTTATTGATTTCTTCACTGCATAATTAACTTTTTGATTGTTTGTTTCTTCCCGCCAAGAAAATAACAAAATGCTTACAACACTAGATATTCCCAGGCGGTCTCCCATCCAAGTACTAACCAAGCCCGACCCTGTTTGGCTTCCGAGATCAGGCGTTTTCAGGGTGGTGTGGCCGTAGGGCTATTAGAACATTTGAAAATACAGCTGTTATTGATTTCTTCACTGCATAATTAACTTTTTGATTGATTGTTTCTTCCCGCCAAGAAAATAACAAAATGCTTACAACACTAGATATTCCTAGGCGGTCTCCCATCCAAGTACTAACCAAGCCCGACCCTGCT